CCTTGGATTTGTTAATACAATTGAAAATGTCACTCTTACAGCACCACCTTGTGGACAGTAGTGAAAATACTTTCTTTGTTTGGTTCTGTCACTGATCCAAATGATACAAAAAATTTGCAGACATTTATCATTTGCCAGCCGCCCCAAGTCCTTCCTGGACAGAGATTTGAGAAATACTTTACATATGGCTAAGCTATGGGGGTGTATCTTGTTGGCAGAGTGCTTACCTAGCATGTATGTAGCCCCAAGTTAGATGGTGATGCTTGCCTACAATCCCAGAATTCAGGAATTAAAGGCAGGAGGATCAGAAACTCAAGGTCATTCTCAGCTACAAAGAGTTCGAGGCCAGCCTGGGATTTGTGAGACCCCCATGCCTCATAAATAAAAATTAGTAAACTAACTGGGTGAAAGTGGATACTATGAAAACAACTGACTGAATCCCCTCAAACTTGGTCCTCTCTGATTTTTAACACAACCATTTCCTAAAAATGCCTCTTATTTAGATTGTTTCTGGTGACCACTAATAATGCCTTAGGGTTTTATGACAAGATGCATTTCTGCAGTCCAGTTTTTCATTTATTTTCATGCCACCAGGTCCAGTTCATGTGAGGCTGGTGATCCGCCTCAGACCCAGCTAAACACATCTGCCAATGGCCAGTCAAATGGGAACACCTGGAAGACACTGCTGCAGCACTCCAGCTTTGCTGACCTCATCTTGGGTCTGGACTGCTTTTCTCCAGTTTGCTTTCTCTTTCACTGGTGCCATGTGTGTCCCTTGCTCATGTCTTCTAGGTGGTCACACATGCTCTGTTGTTCAGACTGGCTCCTGTGGGTATTTGGGAAGTGTTTTCCCCATGTGAAGGTAGTCAACACCCTTCCCGTTTTCCCTTCCTTCCTCTTTCCTTCCCTCCCTCCTTCATTCTCCAAAGAACATCGGACCAAAACTGTTAAAAAATTTAAATTTAAACACAATGCAATTACCATGTGGGAAACACTCATGTTTTCCTCTGAGAGGTCCCTTGGATTTCTTACATCATGGCAAGCCCCTATGACTTGATCATGTCCCCCAGTGTTGGTCCAGGCCCTGTGCAGTCCAAAACAATTCTAGCCAGTGGGAGAGCTTTTCTCTCCCCCTCTCCTTCCCTCCATGCCTACCTCGTTCTCCCCCTCTTTGGGGAGGGAACAACCTTTCACCAGTTACCAAACCAGAAGCTCAGAAGTTACCAGTCTTCCATCACTCCCCGTCCCTAGGCAGTCTGCTTCAGTTCAGTGCTTCTTTGACCTTTTGCGTGCTTCTTATAAAACTGGCACACCAGACTGCCACCATCCCTCTAAAGGCTGACCTCAGTTTCCACCTTGGAATCATTGTGGTGGGTTTGAAAGTTTCAGTGCCATGAGAGTTGGGAGGAGGGAGGAGGCTTGCTGATTTTGCTGTGTTTTCAGAGCTGCAGCACAGTGCCTGTCACACAGGGTGGAAATGGCCCCAATAGATCCATATTATACACTTGGTCCCCAGCTGATGATGCTACTTGGGGACTCTCTAGAAACTTTGGGAACTAAAGTCTAGGTAGAGGAATTAGGTCACCGAGGATGTATTCTAGAAGAGATATATTGCCCCAGCCCCCTTCTAGTGTCCTGTCCACCATGGTATGAACTGCTCTGCTCTGGTTTGCCCGTCCCACGATGATTGAAACCTATGAAACAATGAGACAATAGAAAGAGTTCCTTTAAGTTTTTATCAGATATTTTGGTCAAAGAGATAGGGATACTAGAAAAGTTGAATGAATGAATGAATGAATGATTGAATGAATAAAAGATAATGTCTCAAAGGCCCATACCAAGGCAATTATGACAGTTAATAATATTGTTATTAATGTGTAAGTAAGGTCAGGTCCAGGTGTGACTGAAGGTTGCATGTGATCTGGACAGTTCAACACAAGTCTCATCTGGTTGCTTGGGGCTATTTCTGCAGGATAAGGTACAGAAAACCCAAGCCTGCTTGCCCTTTGCCTAGTCCTATCTGGTCTAGTGACAACAATAAGCTTATACTTGAAAAAATGATCCATATTTCTCTTCTGATAGTAAACTCTTATTCTGAAGAACATCCTAGTCTAGGTTTCTCTTAGTTATATTGTTGTGATAAAATCATGAGCATAAGGAACTTGAGGATAAAAGGATTGATTTTAATTTACACCTTATAATCCATCATCACGATGTCTGTGCAGGAACTCAAGAAGGAACCTGGAGGCAGGAGCTGATGCCGAGGTCATGGAGGTGTGATGCTTACTGGCTTGTATCCCATGGCTCGCTCAGCTGCTTTCTTATAGCACTCATTTCTACCTATCCAGGGATAGCACCACCCACAATGGGCAGGGTCCTCCCACATCAATCAGCAATGGAAGGAATGCACTAGTAAGTTGTGTACAGGCAAAGCTTATAGAGATATTTGTTCAGTTAAAGGTCCCTCTGTCCAAATGACTCCAGCTTGTGTCACACTGACATAAAGTTCGCCAAAGAAAATAAATTCAAAAAGAAAATATCTCCATCTCTTCATCTCATTCCCACTTAAAGGCATAGTCAGTTTAGGTCACTATGTTCAGAAAAGTTAATATATCCATCTTCATGTAAATAGCCTCTCCCCTGTTTGAGAAGCTAAGGGAAAAATAATAAAAGTCATTTCCTTCAAAATACAAGGTAAACTGATAGCTCAGGAAATGTAGAGCTTGTGTGTGGTGTGGTGGGGGAGGAGAGGTTGGAAGCCCTGAGAGAATGAAATCAATGTGGTTGACATAGGCACAGTTATGCCAAGAACCATTTAGACCAGGGGAAAGACTTGCTCCACTTAGGGTGAGACACAGAGAGATGGCAAAGTCTTTCTTTGGTTGGTGTGTGGATGTCAATAGTGTAGAAAATGTCCATCACAGGTTTCCTTTCCAGATATTTATGGCCTGAAGCCTGCTCCCCTACACAGACTGCTCCTACCTAGATTAGCTAAACCTGCCTCCTTGACCAGCTGTATACTGTAAACCCTGCCTTCTCATTTATCAAGATGTAAGGAGACTGCCTCCTTGTTCAGTTGTGTGCTATAACCCCACCTCTCAGTATAGAGTATACATACCGAGCTTCTGTGCTGTTGAGGTTTCTCCCTCCCAGAGCCCAGTGCACCCATCCCCGCTTGTCTGTGTGTCTTCATTCCCTCACTACCACAGTCAGGTCCAACCCTGGAGCCACACTGGGTGCAGCAATAGCTAATCCTAAATAGCATATCTCCACCTTAATAACAAATCCAAATATGAATGGGTACTTCACATCAAGATAAAATAAAAACTCATTTACACAGACTATTGGCATGATATACAAAGTCAAGAATACTTTTATTATAATAATTATTACCTTTACATATAAACATAGGAACTAAATCTTTCTTTCATTTGTTTATTAATAGAATTTTGTTCCAGAGATAATTTGACATAAATTGCAACATATGAACATGGCAAGCTTATATCACTATTAAAAGAGTAAAATTTGAAAGAACTATGGAGAAAAATCAAAGAAGAAAGACAGGAGTAGAATACAGAGAATTTGGACTATTTTCCATAATCCGTTGTAAGGAGCACTGTGCTTTGGCCAAGAGTTGCTGGTGTTTCCTCAGTAGTCATCACCTCTTTTTCCTTCTGCAGACCCTGAATTTGTGCAGCAAATGCACCCATGCTCAACCATACAGGAGGGACCACAGTTGATCTCAGAGAGTCATGGACACCTCCAGGAAAGGGGCCTAGACTGTTCATGGGTCAAAAGAATGTCCTTATTGCTTGAGACTTCGTGGTATCTCTTGGACGAACTGCTTTCTGACAGTTAGAATACTAGAATAATATGCCTTCAAGCCTTCTAGTCACAACTGGAAAAGAGACAACTTAATACTCTTAGAACAAACTGAAGTTGTTTTAGACCCAAACCTCAAAAAAAAAAAAAGAAAGAAATCTGAGTCACAGGCTTCTTCTTCAGACACAATTTATTACTTGCTCTTCTCTGCACTCATCACAGGTTATTCATTGTTCTTGAGCCAAATGAAAAGGCATCAAATAAATTAAAAGGACAATGAATGCACAGACATTGTCCCTTGGAACTTGAACTTAGTTTCCCTATCCAAAGCTCTAAATCTTTGAGTCAGCAGATAGGGTTTGGGGGTGGGAAAACATCTAGACATCTTCCTGTACATCTTCTAGAAAGAATATGTGTCTAGTCTGTGTATCTTTTCAGAAAATGTGTAGGCATTTAGCATAAGAGAGAAGGATCACAAATTCTTTTCCCCCTCAAACACTGAGATGAGGTTTTATTTTTGCAGAATTTTATTTTGTGTAGGAGTAAGACAGTCTCAGCTCATGTTTATTTTTATTATGTATATCTAGTTTAGGAGAAAGAAACAAACAGAATACAGGTAGAAGAATGTGTCTTTCTGCAAGATGCCTTGACTACTTGAGTCTTCCATGCCCCTGCCAGAGCTCCCAGCCCACAGAGAACAGACCCATTGCCAAGCAGGGGGAAGCCCGTTTCCACTTTACTGAGAGGAAACAGCTAATATGGCTATGTGAGCTGAGTGACCTTGGACAGGAGCACTGCCTGTACTGGGAAGGCTTGAGGGGACTTGAGTTCTTGCCATTGCTAAAAGCTGATGATGTATTCCTGATGACTTCATCCCCAAATGGAAGTGAGCTCCCAGCTTCAGTCCTAGTGATGTCTCAGAAAAAGAACAGTTTGGAAAACATGGAGAGAAGAGATCGCATTTTCTCTTCTGAGTCAAATGAAGGAATCACTGTTCAGACCCTGGGATAAAAACACGTTCTCTACAGCAATCATGACTGCAAAGGCGCAGCCAAGAGAAAAAACGAGAAACTGTGGTGGCGTTTTTTCAGTGGGGCTCATGAAAGAATAATGTGGGAATTAAATGCCCACCCCTTTCCTCCCATTTGTTCTGACCCTTCAGACTAGTTTCTAATCATTTAGAAGAAGGGACTTGTTCCATTCCAGTTGACAGTAGCCTCTCTCCATTTAGTTCTGATCGCCATTTCCACTGGAGAAAACCGTCTTCCTGATCCATATTTATCTTCATGGCGCTCCCTTTCCCAGTGATGGGAGTGAGTATCTGAGGATGGAATGGCAGCATTGACATTCAGGCCCATTGGCCTATTCCCAAAGAAGCCAGCACACAAGAAAAAGAGACAAGGTGGGTGGAGCTGGCCCAGGCAGCCTTAGAATTGATTAAGTGGAGGGAGGTTCTTGCAGATGGTGTGTTGAAATACACATTTAGGCCGGGCGTTGGTGGCACACGCCTTTAATCCCAGCACTCAGGAGGCAGAGGCAGGCGGATCTCTGTGAGGTCGAGGCCAGCCTGGGCTTCAGAGCGAGTTCCAGGATAGGCTCCAAAGCTACACAGAGAAACCCTGTCTCGAAAAACAAAAACAAAAACAAAAACAAACAAACAAAAAAAGAAATACACATTTAGAATTTGTCTGTGGTGGCCAGGCTTGCTGTGTGTTGGTATATGAATATTCATGTCATTTAATGCAACATGATGTGGCACATAGAACCAGGCATGCATCATTGATATTGCCAGGAAAACAGGTGAAAGGAAAGCCCATCACTTTTAAAGAAGAGATATTTAGAAAGGGAATCTAGAAGCTGTCTCCCAGGCCTAGGTTTGTCTCACATGAGCCAGGTAACATTTGAGAAGTACTTAAGATACTATTGCCCTGCTTCATTGATTTATTTAGTAGCTAAACATAGCAACTATACAGCCAAAAACCGATATTAGAGTACCTGCTTCATATGGCTATCGGGAACTTAATGCTTGTGTTACATACACTCTCAATGCAGTACCCAGAATAGAGTATGTGGGATGTTTGTAAGCTGAAAAAAAAATGGGGCTTATCTCACAGGTCGGTAAAGTAAAAATGGCAGTAGATACTAAAGAACGTATGGTCGAAGTCACACTAAAGTTAATGAGTTAATATGCATCTCTCATAATTAAAGAAAAGCATAGGGACTGCACAAATACGTTCTTACAGCCATTTCTAAATGCCGAGAGAACAACAAAAAGTTACTCAGCCCCAGGCTTATGATGCTAAATGCAAAGTCAGCCATTGACAAAGCCCCATAAATGGAACCAAGATTGCTGGACAGAAGTCAAGTTTGTCCACTGCTGGCATCTTCTCAAAGATGCCAATATTTAAAGACATCTTAAGGTTAGTCATTTTCTGCATGAATTTAAGGAACTGGAGCTGTAATTGAGACAAAAACGGTTTTGCCTGTCTGTGTTTCTCCTAGGACCACTAGAGATTTGCTGTTTATGTCACTGGATGATGGTCTTGTGTTTGTTTGTATATAGAATTGGCCAGGTGGAAGTCTGTGTCTCCTTTGATTTTGCATGTCTTTCCTGGGGCTGTGGATACCTCATGCTTAAAGATAGGGTCTTGGAGAAAGATTTCTGGAAATTAGACTCTTTGACATTTATTTCTTATCATAACTAGAATTTGCTCATTTTTCTGTGTTATTTCTAACACTAACACATGCATTCACACATACATTTTAAAGTCCCACACCAATGAATTTGGACCTAGTCAGGGACTTCATTTTAGAAACCGAGTTTGAGTATTTCTTGCAATGGCAGCACAAATAACCACACAGCTGTTAAACAATGACAGCTACATCTCTGAGTGCACTAAAGCCTACACTTGGGAGTCTCAAGTGCTTACCTATTGTAAGATGTACAAGCTTCTTCTGTGAGGGCTGCCCACTGTAAAAGTGCAGATCAAAGACACGCTCCATCTTCCAGTCGGACAAGAGCTGCCTATTTGTGCAGAAAAGGATGCTATAATTCCCATTGATGTTGCACAGCCAAATAGGAAATGTGGGAGTCCTCAGCATGCTGCCCACCTGGAATGGGAAAGGAGAATGCAGATGGACATCTGGATTTTTCTGAGTAATGAAAGATGCTGACACATTCTTCTGGTTAAAAAGCAGCTCTGAGCTTCTCATTGCACATGTAGCTTGCAGGCCATTGTATGTGATATTAAAATTCCAAGCCAAAGCTTCATGGAGAATGAAATTGTACCTGTAAATGGTTTGGTAGAGTAGTAATGCCTCACTTTGCTCCAAATGGACTGTACTTCTTAAAACACAGCAGCCTTATGGAGAAGGCAAAGATTTTCTAGTTTGGCTTAAGGTGAGGTCATGTAAAGTGATATATAAATGTAGATGTGGAAAATAAGAATGCCAATTCTATCTGTGTTATTGGCTAGTTTAGCTGCTCCCAGTGTAATTCCTGAGCTTGGGCAAAGTTTCATGCAGCCAACATCAACTTTCTGACAACACTAATCATTTAGCATGTAGAGTATTGGGGCAGTATATGCATACAGTACAGTGTATTGGTTTCCTATAACCATGATAAGTTGGAATTGAGAACAGTGAAGAATTCATCCAACTTAAATTAGAAAAAGGCAAGTTTAATGCAGTGGCAGTGGGGCGAGCAGGGACAGAATGGCCTGACATAGGATGATGGACTGTTCTGTTCGTATATGGGAGCTGCCCTCTTTTTGGTTTCCTCCAGCTTTCTGCTATGCAAATAAGGGGCTAAGCATGGAAGTTCTTATTGGTCAATTCTTGGCTCTAGGGTTTATAGGAAAGCAACTCTGTTATAAGGACATGGTTGATTTTGTTTGGTTGTTTTAAGTGATAAGATATCTCTTCCAAATGTTGATACCCTATGGTTTTTATTAAGTAATGGGACTACACCAGGAAGTTTCTGGGTATTTATCTTGAGAGAGTATAAGATTTGATTCAACATCATATGGACAAACCTTAGTCTCATTATTGGTTCTATATTTTGTCCAAGTTGGCTAAGCATCATCAGGCCTTTGTCTATGAAGATGGGTGTATTTTTAGGAGTTACAATGACAGTATAGATTGGAGGCCAAAAATCATGAAAAGAGGTTATAGCCATTACTGGGCCTCAGGCTTGAAGGGTTATTGAGAGCACCTAGGAAGGAATTAAGAACTTTGAGAAAAACTCAGGGGTTTCAGACTGTATCATCAAGGTAGAATGGTGTCCCACACCTCAAGGGAAACTTTTGGGAACTGGCTAGATACTTGTGAAACAATTGTACTGCTGTTTATAAGAAACTTCACATTCAAGATTATTAAAGTAACTTGGCCACTAGTGTGGGGCATGGGGATGGGAGAGACTAGAGCCAGTGTGAAGCTAAAAAGGGGAATAATGGGGATGCAGGTTTAGGTGGGGAGAGCGATGAGAGGGTATTATAGAATCATGGGTGGATGAGGGTTAATTAGGGATGTTTGAAAAAGTCCATATGGAAACTATTTTATAAGATATATATATATATATATCTTATATATGTATGTATATGTATGTATGTATATATATATATGTATGTATGTATATGCTATCACAATTGCTACTGGATACCCACCATAACTTATTGCTTGAAGACACCACATACTTTGGTCACAGGACATAAAAAAACAAGTTAGAACTGACAATAAAGCTTTCAACATGATTGCTAGCTTTTATAGTATGTATTGGAAGGTGTTGTGTAGGCTTCTGGTGGTGGTGGTGCTTTGTATATGGTCATTAACAGTTTTACCTAGATGTGAACTTGTGGATTTCAATAATGCCTCAGGTGGCAAGATAACTCATGGGTATAATAGTGGCATGTGCGTTATAGGGTTAACTATCCACTTTCTGTTAGAATTCCAGGAGGAAACACACACCCGGTACTTTAAATATGACCAAGAACTCAAGGTTGGAAGCTCAAAGGCCATGGAGTGAACCGACTGCTTATATTTTGCTAAATGCCCATAGTATCAAACTGTCATCTAAATTCATATCTCTATACTCATGGACAGTAAGGATCTCAGACACCATCAGAGAATTTCTTTGTGCAGTGGATGGTGATTATTGCAGATACTTGCAACTTATAAAAGTGGGCTCACCCACACTTGGTTGGGTCCTCCCACATCAATCACTAATTAAGAAAACACCTACTGGCCTGCCTATAGCCTAATCTTATGGAGGCTTTTCTCAGCATGACCCTTATGGAGGCATTTCCCTCCTCTCAGATGACTTTAGCTCGCATCAGGTTGATATGAAACTAGCCAGCACACTCAGATTGCCCTTGATTAGAGGTATTCATTCTCATGCGGACTGAATAATATCTGCTGTGAGAGTGTACTGGCTGGGTTAGGGATGTGTCCTTCTTAACATATTAACTAGAAGGAACCTCATTTTGTTTTAAGCACAATAATAAATGTTTTCTAGGCAACTGAAAGTGAAACACTTAAAGACAAAAGTATCTCCAGTTCACTCACAACTGAAGAATTTAAAGAAAATGAAGCAATTTGAAAGTGTCAATTTATTAGCCTGTAGTGCTTTGGTCTGTAACACATGTAATTACCTTTCAAAGCTTGCTTTTCCATAGAACAAAGTTGACTCCTGAACAAACAGCACTGAAGGACTGAGGGAAAGGGCAATGCTGGACCACCCTGTCCCAGGAACATAAGCTCTGATGTCACTTGCTCTTCCCGTCTCCATGCTGGGAAGTAGTCCTGGGCTGGTAGTCCTGGTTTCTTTAAGACATCTGGGCAGATGGAGAGCAAGCCAGTAAGCAGCACCCTTCCATTGCCTCTGCATCAGTTCCTACCTCCAGCTTCCTGCCCTGTTTGAGTTCTTGTTCTGACTTCCTTTGATGATGAACTGTGTTGTGGAGGTGTAAGCCAAATAAACCCCTTCCTCCCCAAGTTCCTTTGGTCATGGTGTTTCATCACAGCAATAATAACCCTAAGACACGGAGTATCCCACCTTCAAAGCAGGGCAACTCTACACTAACTACATGCAAAGAGAAATAGCCCTGGAGTTAGTTTCACACACATTTCTTCCAAGTTGTAAATAGGTAATTAACTATCCATCAGTTAAATGGAACACACTCTTTTCAAGGCATTCTTGTAATAGTACTTGCCTGGAGTAAGATTTATATGTATACAAATATGACATATAGGATAAGCAATTATTAATATTAATATTTTGAGACAGTTTTGGCACATAGCCTCAAACTTGCCATGTAGCCCAGGCTGGCCTCAAACTCATGACCCTCCTGCTTCTGCCTTCTAAGCGCTGAGATTGCTAAGATGTATCTTCACACTCAACTGGAACAAGGCAACCATTAATGTAAGAATGGGATGAAGTAAAAGATTGAATGCTATTTGTGATAAAGTGTCATACCATTTAAATTCAGGTAGATCTTATGATTGATTTAAAAAATCAATGGAAGCCCCTGTAAATTCTGGGTGGATGGATGAACTGCATATATAGGTATACAGACAATATGTATTAAAACATTTTTTCATAGAACATTTGTAAAATGAGCAAAATTCTGCTGGTCCTTGGTTGCACATGCCTGGCCTGGTGCTGGCACTCCAGCACTGTTACTTTATATAGCAATGCAACTGTGGTCTTTTCTGAACTCAAAGACCACTTCTGAACCCCACAATGACCAGATTTCACCTGAGCAGGCAGTGTTGCATGCCTGGAGGGAGTATGGTGGAAGGGAAATGCCCCGTATAACTATCAATGGCACTTTGGGTAACAGGAGATGAGCCTTAAGGTTACTACTGAGACAACAGCTTGTTAAAAGTAATGTAACAGGTCAGGCAGAAATGAAGATCTTCCAAAGAGACACTTGTGACTCTCTGTGTGACTATCAGACTATTAAAACAATGTATCCTAAAGAAATGGGACTTGTTCTAGGATTCTCCTGCTGGGAGAGGAAGAGGCCCCAGCCAAGGGATAAACTTAGCTCCTGGACAGAGCTTTCAACCAGTTCTAAGAATGTGTCAGGCTGCCTTACAGGACTGGAACCAGACAAGGATGGGACAATGATAGGCTGGACCACTCATTGACCGGAACTGTTTAGGTGTGCACATCCTTGCTCCTCTATTCAAGCTTTGATCACATTTATGACCCAAAGATAGGCTTAGGGGGTTGATGGATCTCTTAGTCCCCCTTTCCAATGTGGCCACACTGAGTAAGTCTCCCTTTCTGCTTTCCACTGTTAATTTAGCTCTTTTTTGTTTGTTTGTGTTTGTTTGTTTGTGGTTTTGTTGTTGTTGTTGTTTTCCGAGACAGGGTTTCTCTATGTAGCTTTGGAGCCTATCCTGGTCTGGAGACCAGGCTGGCCTCAAACTCACAGAGATGGGCCTGCCTCTGCCTCCCGAGTGCTGGGATTAAAGGCGTGCACCACCAATGCTGGTCTAATTTAGCTCTTTTAATTGGCTTACTGAAGACTGGTGACTGAACCTGGCTTGACTACAGCTGTGACCCCCACATTTGAAAACAGCTAGTCTTACAAAAATGGAAACAAAGCACCTTCTGTCTGAATCTAGTCAGCTGTCACCCCAACCCCTGCCCTGTTCTGGACACACCATGTGTCCATTTGACATTTTCCAGTTCAAGCATTTTAATTATTTTTGTATAGACATGGTTTACCAGCCACCCCTCCCCCACTGCAGGATTCTAAATATATTTTATTGGTGCGATTCCACCAATTCTGAATTTGTGCATGTTGCCATGGTAAGAAGGAAATTAAATTTGATACAGAGGTACTATAAATAAAATACCTTTCTCCTTAGGTTCACTCATTGTGTAATAAGCCCAGTCGTTTCAGTATTACCTTCAGCAACCAAACCCTCTGTCACTCAAACCTTTCTTTAAGCTTCTGTAAAATGATAAGGACAGGAAAGATGGACACATCCTAACACTAGAGAACAAGAATTGAGTCCAAGTAGGTTTTCTTTTTGTGCCACTAGTACAATGGTGCTTAGAAAGTGCCTTTGCATAATGAGCTTAGTATTACAAGCCCCAG